AGTGGCTGTACTCTCTTGCTTGGAGTGACACCGATTTTAAAAAATGCTAAATACAAATCAATATTCTTAAAAGAATTTTGAATTGTTTTATATGTGTATAAACAAGCCTATTTTTGTAAGTACGGACAACCATAAATGACATTTTCAAAAAATAAGAGCGATAACTATATTAAATTTAAAACCAAAATTTCCAAAATTCAATAAAGATTAGATTACGGAGAACTTCTAAAATTACAGAGAACTTAAAAATTATTTAAAAAAATGGCGCTTACGTTACTTTCTTCAATTATTATGTTTTACAGATAAATTAACATTAGATTTATCAGCATGTCACTACAGCTACTGTCGGGTTAAAAATGCATTTCTGCGATATTTTGAACTTAAAGTAGATAATGTTTGTTTCAAATCGGATTAATTATACTTTAAATCAGCTAGTATACATTAAATAAAGTTTCAGAAAAATATATTTTATTTTTGGAAGATTTGTTAATAAAGAGAATTACATTGCGATGAAAGATGATTAAAAAGAGCGCTAATCAACTATTTTAGCAAAAAAACTGCTTCCAGTCAATTTAAAATTGCTTTTGAAAAACAAAACAGCAAAGTATTTTGCTTATTGGAAATATTAAATTTAGTCTATTAGCTTGAAATTAAAACTAAAATAAAAGCTTCAAGAAAGATTTTGCGGTTTTAAAAATTCATTTTAAACCTTTACAGTATAAAGTAATGTATCGATTTTTTGTGGGGGTCCCTATATAAATCTGATATTGATCTTGTCTTCATATATTGACCGTTCTTCCTATTTTATAAAATAACATTGCATTTTTCAGTTACGTTTAACATTGGATGAGTTCAAGAAAGGCCACACTGATTATATCAATCTCACGGTTGTAACTATTTTACTTCTCCTTCATTCAATTACTACAAAGAATGAACCATAGTTAATTCAATTAAAATTCATTTCTCCTTTGAAACTAAATAAAATTGTTTGTCGTTTGAAATAGACCTTTTCAAGGTGTTTGCATGAGTCTTTGAGAATAAGCGATAAAAATAATACAGCGACCTGCGTTCATAAAAATTATTTTTTGAATCTTCATATTCGCATATAAATCATTTTTCCTTTTTTTCTATATACCTTTATACTATAGGTGGTGCCAAGTAAGGAAAAACAAATAATATATAGAAAATATGATAGAATATGCTATTGTATAAAGAAAAGCGAATAAATTAGTATATTTTCTAAAATATGTCTCCCGGTGTTCAATTTAGAAAAACAAAAGCAAAAGATATTTTAATCAAAAAAACATTCCTTACCCAGGAAAGCATCAGAATGTGACCGTCACTTACACCAACGAGGCTTTCAAAAACCCGTAAATTTTCTGTCTGCGTGGTCTCCTACTTGATAACGCCTCGGACGTTCTAGGTCATGTCTGAGGTCACATGTTGGAGGTGACATGAATTTTGAAGATTATCTTCCTACCAGTACTAGATCACTTGGGAACGAGTCCTCCTTGGACAACAACTCAATCCATACTTGACCACCTTGTCTATTTCCTTGATGTAGATGCTGTCATTAACTCCAAAGCCTTATGTAAAAAGTTAAACGACAAATATCTCAATTTCTTCAGAACCATCACAAACGACGTCAATTTGACTTTGACCAACCTCGATAACTCCTCCTCCTCACGGTCTGCACCGAGCTATCTTTCGTTCCTCTTGTTCACTTGGCCACTTTCCAAGAAACTGGCTGCCATAGAGTCGCTATGGTTGGAGACTAGTGCTAGGATCAAGAGTGATTTTTCATTTCTTTTGCCAGACTAGAAATTGTCATGTGAATGCTCTTCATATTTTTTTAAAGAGAAAAGAGGATTTTAAAAAATTGGAGCAGATTATTACGACCTGTTGTCTTTTATTTATTCTTAAATACATGACGTAACGTGTGAGTCTAATATGGACAGGGATTCTTAAAAATATTTTTCTATTTATTTAATGCAGTGTTCTTACATCGGTATTTAAACGATGATGATAAATACATCTGTAGACGCACTGGACAGTTAAACATTCTTCGAGATTAATCTCCGCAGAAAACTATTTAAACAGGAACTTATTTCTTTAATTCTTATGGCATTATTTTCTTTGTATTCCAAACTTGAATTCACGATAAACAAGCTCGATTTTCAAAACCAGAATAATTAGATTTGTATGTTCCCGCTGTTATACCACGTGAAAAATACATGCATTTTGTACAGTAGAGAATAACTTATGGAAATTCAACCCCGAGATTGAGACAGAGAGAAATTGACGACTGAGTGATAAGTACAATTTTATACTACTTTGATCTATATACCTTGATCTACATAAAATATTGAAAATGGACAGCAGAATCTGCTTTAAACATTAATATCGAATAAGATTTTCAGTCTGAAAATAGAAATCGTCTTTGTTAAAAGACGGGTGCGCAATTTATGGAAAGCCATTCAAATTAAGAAGGAAGAGTTGTTCGATACTCAACGTGCATGAATTTAGAGACAAGAACGATTTTCAAGCATAATAATGATAGCAAGGTGACCTGGTAGAAATTGGCTTACTGTCTTTCAGTTATTCGGTATTAGGTTATATTTCATCTCCATTTAAAAAGAGAGAAGAAAATAAAACCAAACTTTAAACACATCCGAGAATGCATTTATAATGTTCAAACCTAAACCTCAGTGAACTAAGACGGCATTTCTTCTCTCACTTACATAGCGTCATTCTTAATTGCATAGTTATGCATTTCTTATAGGATTCCATCTTTTTCTTCAATTAACGGATGAAACAAATATCTGTTTAACCATAAAGGGATATCATTTAAATTGATCTATGAATACATTCGCTAGTAAATTATTTGTTAATTATATAAACACACTCAGAGACATCTATATACACACACACCTATTCGCTTTCTCTCTCTCTCTCTCTCACACACATACATATATATATATATATATATATATATATATATATATATGAAAACTAGCCAAGTTTTGACGTTTTGAGTTCTTATGAGAGACCACACACACACACACACACATATATATATATATATATATATATACAGGGGGTCTTCTTATAAGAACTCAAAACGTCAAAACTCTTGGCTAGTTTCATAAGAGCCTTGAAGATGAACATACATTTCTGGAGGGATTCAAAGCGTTTTCTCTACCGTTGCAAGGTTATTACTAGCTAATTTAAAGAATGCATTTCTGTTCAAGAAATTCAAATTGTGTTTTTGCCATATGACAGCATTTATGAAATTGGTATTTTAGACGATGACTTCTTTAGCGTAAATTAAACAGTTTGCTCTGATTTCATCAAAATAGAAAATTTTTCAATTAAAAAGAGAAATGATTCAATGACCGATTGTTAATGTTATAAATTGATAGGAATAAATGATTTTCCTGGCAAAAACCTATTCACATCAAATCAGTATGATCTTTCGAATTGTATACTGCAAATATCTTCTCAATTTTAAGTGATGTTTGAGCTTCCTATACACGTTTTCTCTCACTTGGACTCTTTTCTTATCTTAATCTCTTTTCAATAATTTAATATTTCAATTCTAATATGAATAATTGTCAATATACTTGTATTATTTCGAATTATTATTCTCATCTTGGTTGATATAGATGTTATGATAGATATAATATTTCGGCTACGTACCCTCTAGTCATAATCAGGCTTCTATTGTTTGGCTGACATGGGATATATGTGAATTGTGTTATTTTGTGTCTGTGATGCCAGTTCTTCTTCATGCTGAACCAGTATTTCACAACCTGATTCAAGTTTACAGTAACGCATGTATAGCCAACTACTATATCATCGATGCCACCGTCCCAAAGCATTTTAGTGGTTTACTTTTGGAACCTTTATATTAAATGACAATTTCAACATTTGATTGTTGGACATGTACCGATTTTCATAATTTATTATTTCATACTGAATTGTTGACAATGTACCTTTTATTATTTCAAACTATTATTCTCTTTTTGGCTAATATAGGGACGATGGCATGATGAATATAGGAGTTGGTTACTGTTATTTAGTGTTCGTGATCTCAATCTCTGCACCAGGTAGTGAATCTAGCTCCACAAGAACGAACAATAACTCTGGTATCATAGGAACAAAATAACACAATCAACAGATATCCCATATCAGCCAAACAATGGACACCTGATGATGACCAGTGGGTACTTCATCGAAGCAATGTGCCTACAATAGCATCTATATCAACCAAGATGAAAACAATAGTTCGAAATAAAAATGTATATTTGCACTTTTCTTTCTGTCTTTTGTTATCTAATCTTGTAAACCTTCTTCCCCCATTATGAATTTTGAAAATATCGCTATCAGTTTGGAGGTACTTCGTACCTGAATAAATAGCCTTTCGCTTTATAATATTTCGCTAGACCTAATAAAAGTGCTATGTACATAGCAGTTATTGGTGCGTTAAATGGAATCGACGATCCGAGTTCAAATTTCTACCGAACCTGCTGCTTTCATTTTCATACTATTAATCTTGAGAAGGGCATGAATGCATCACTTCTCCCATCAGTAATAGATTAAACAGTAGGGTGAACTGGCATATCGATCAGAAAAGGAGTATACGTTGAAAGCGTGGAGAAGCCATCAAGAAACTAATCCACTATCTTTCCTAAGATGTCATAACCATTTATAGACATTAAAGAAAAGGAATATAATAGCCTACGACCTGAAGGGATAAAAAGAAAAATTAATTATTTACTACTGTTTTCCTCTTTAGTATGAGAAAATATGTACGATTTCCGAAATTCCATGTCATCCACCGCCAATGATTTATTTTCGCTTTCGACATGTTAATAGCCAATGAGGACTCCAAAAACTTTATATCCGTGTCTCGTTTTACAGAAAGGCTACCTCGTTAGAATGTCATGTTGCTTTCTTTCATTTAATAAGCCAGGAGATGCATGGTGAAATTCCCAGGCTTACGGCCATATCACATTGGAACACGGGTTCCCGTACGATCACCGAAGTTAAGCAACGTCGAGACTGGTCAGTATCTAGATGAGTTACCGTTTGGGAATACCAAGTGTTATAATCTTGTTTATGCGGGTGTTCTAATGGATAATGACTCGGAATTTTTAATTGGAGAGCCGAATTCCAATTTCCGTTTCGTTTGTTATATTTACTTACGCGCGAATACCCTTGGGAAAAGTGTGAATCCACCTCTTCTACCTCCAGCTATGGGTTAATTAGTGGGACCTGTATCATTAAAATATTATTATCTAAAACAAAAGTTTTACAATCGAAAAATACTTTCTAGTTTTAAAAAATCTGCAAAGGTTTGATAAAACGTAGAAAACGAATGAATAAAATATATGCATTCGCAGAATTTAACGAAGAAACAATAAAATCAACAGAATTTGCAAAAGCATGTAGTTACAATGCATATCCGAGCAGAACACAACACTCTCAAATGTTGTGGATTCATTCAATATTAAAGATTTTTAAAAAAATTCATGTTTCAAAATGTTTCATTATGTTTCAAAATAAACGAAAAATAAATGGATGAGGCACTGGCAGAATAACGAGTGAAACCATTGCATTACAACAAGTAGAAAAAAATGAAAGAAAAATATTTTAATGACTGAATCATATACACACACACTCATATAAACCAAACAGCGATAGTCTGTTTCATGCTTTAACGCAATCTGCAGGCTTGACGGTTGCCTTGAAGCATAAAACTGACTGTCACCACTTGATATTGACTTCAGTGACTACTTTATATTTACATTCTCTCTCTCTCTCTCTTTCTCTTTCTCTCTCTTTCTCTCTCTCTCTCTCTCTCTCTCTCTCTCTCTCTCTCTCTCTTTGATACTGAGTACGTTTACCCATAAATATAACATACCTTAAAACTTATGTATATGAGAGAGTGAAATCACTTCAATAACGTTATCTTCTGATTGTCGTTATAGATTTCTACAATGACAAATGTCTTAACAACCCGCGTCAATAACTCATATGCTATTTCGTTTCAGACTCTAGAGTATCGACATGACAATTCCTTTGATGCCACTTAGAAGCGGTAATGGTTAGAGTCAAATAAAAGCCATCATATCAGTTTGGTCAGCAAGAAGGAAAGACAATGCAGAGTCAAAATGACTCGCAAACAGACTGGACTGATTGATCAATTTATTGATGCATGCGGACTAAATATTGTGAACAGTCGATCAGTGTTAACATTCCAGAATGGAGTATTTGTTTCTTCACAAAAGCTTTTTAATTCCTCACCCTGAGAGGCAAGATTGTTACCTTACTACTATTTATACGATGAGTAATAAATTAAAATATTTATGCTTCCTACTCAAAAAGACAAATACACGTGTAACTGATTTCAAACTATTAGTCTTATTTCGTTGATTTAAATGACAATGACGCATCCAAATAAAGATATTTTAGAACATAGCTGTAAATTTGTAAAACTCATATTACTCTTCACAATCTATCCTTTTTGTAGTCAGTCACTATTTTAAAATCATTCGTTGAATATCGAAGGGCTGCCATAAGTATTACTATTCTTAGTGAATTCCTTTCACAAAAGTTGTTTGTGCTCATATCGTCAGCAAACGATCAATTTCCAGGGTTAAAAATAAGCCAGACCTTAAATTAAGCGACCACTGACGCTATAGTGGTCGATAAGTCAGTTGATCGATTTATCAAATGTTGACTTAAATATAAATTCGTTCTTTGGGTAAACAATTTTCTTCTTGGCTTTAAATGTTAGTGTAGAAATGCTAGGATCTGTTGTTTATGCATTTATACTGAATTAAAAATTGATTAGAGTTAAAAAGAAATTTTCTTAGTTTTACCATTTTTATCACAATTTTCAGAGTTGACTATCTTCCCACCGTCACATTAATTGCATAAAGAATAACTGGCAGATTCCGTAGGAAATTATGGCTTTATTTACGTATGAACCATCATTTCTGTTGAAGATTAAAGTTTTTCCACCTGGTTCATTACTTAGAATGTGTGATTAGTACATGTGCGTTCTCTTAACGCATACACACATACACAAGCACACACATACAAACACACACACACACACACATATATATATATATATATATATATATATATATAATATTTTCGACGACGACATATATATATATATATATATATATATATATATATATATATATATATATATATATATGGTGTCATCTTCTATGTGCCGTATCCTTCTGGACTTTGGCGATCAAGGCCTTCCACAATTACCTATCCTTTGTAGCTCTTATTAAATTTTGTCTTTTTACTCTCTCTTCTAAAACCTGTTCCGCCATCCATTTACACAAGCTCATTAGGTATATTATGCTCTGCTTTCCTCTGTTCCATGTGTCTTCAGTATGTTTTGTGAGTCAAATTTGTCCTAGAAATTTCAACTGTCTTTTTCTGATGAGTCCTTTTTGTTTCTATTTTTTCTAAAACTCCGTTTCTCAGTTGTTCAGTCCTTGGTATTCTCAGCATCCTTCTGTAGAAACTCATTTTTTGTGTCATATCTCATCTGTGATGAGATTGTTCAGCATTCACTACCATATAATAGGACCAATATTAAATAAAAGTTCAGTATTCTTTTCTATTCTTGTTGCCATGTTTCTTAATACTTTGCTTAACTTTTTGAATGGACCTTTCGCTATTCCTATGAGTCTTCGCATTTCGGTGTTGCATTTTGTATCCTCTATTAAAACACTACTTAGATATATATATATATATATATATTTTTTGACTTGATTAATTTTGGTGTCTCCAATTTATAATTTGTATGTTGGGGGTGTTTCATTTGCTGACCCCCATACATTCTCTTTTCTTATATTTCATGTTTAGTTCTTTCTCCTCGCTTTCAATTCTTTCTGATGCGAAGTTTTCCATTCTCTCTAAAATATGCTCACATATCCAGTCCATGGTATTCTCAGCATTCTTCTGTTTCTTCAAACCATTTCTCTATCTGTGATGAGATTTTCCATTATTCACTACGATATAAGATGACCAATACGACATAACTGTTAAATACACTTTTCTTTATTTCTAGCGAAATTTTCCGTTACTTAATACTTTGCTTAGTTTTTGGAAGGCATCTTTCGATATCTTAAAGCGTCTTCTGATTTCGGTGAAACAATTTAAACACTTCCCAGATATTTAAATTTAATTTTGGTATCTCCAATTTATAATTTGCATGTTAGGCTGTTTTTTTTTGGGGGGGGGGGTGCTGACAATCATACATTCTGTCTTCTTGCAATTGTTGTTTAGCATTTTCTTCATGTTCCTTTCTGTATTTGCTATCAAAACTATCATCTGCATATCATATATTAAGAATATGGCAACCAATATTGAATCCTGATAGGTCGTCTACTTCTCTCAAAATAGTTTCACTGTATAGGTTGAATGTCCTGTGAAAAGACACGTTCCTAACATTTTATATCTAGGATGAGGGTTTAAATCTTTTTCATTTTAATAGTTAGAGTTCATTCAAACTATGATATTGCGAAAATAAAAAAAATAAATCTAAATTTCGACATTGAAAGAACAATCATTTCTAAAAGCATTTTTCATTGTGCTGTATTTTGCAACTAGAGAGCACGGGTAGGACTCATTCAATGGCATCTCTTTGAATGTTTGGAGAAAAAGATCAAAACTTGTCTACAGTGTTCATTTCTTTCCAAAGAACACTTACAAGAGTTTAGCAAGTATACTTTAAATTCATGGGAAATAATTTAAGAAAATCTATATATCAAAAAGATCAATAAGAACATTTTCAAACTTGAATATATCCATTTACACAATGAACAAATGTCTCGATATGGAAAAAAATTATCAATGGAGGTTTTTTTTCTGCAAATGAAACAGTTTAAAAAGGTAAAATCATTAAATATTGTGGGACTGATGTATTTTAAATCTTAATAGCGAAAGAAAATGACGGATGATACGGTTTTCTATGTTTTAATATAACAGCTGTCTAGTTAATAGTTGAAGTGGAGAAATATAGATTCAAAATATCATAAATAATCAGCTAGAATATAAGTCTGAGGTTTTCTTTCATTTACTGTATCTTGTGCTTGATAATTACTTGTCTGTCATAAAAGGTTTTGTAAGTGGAAATTCCAAGAAACTAGAGACTATTGGAGCTGATATTCTACACCTTAGGAGACAATTATGTTAGAACGCGCAGACAAGGTTATAAACCGATAATTAGAAGGAGCTCATTAAAATGTAAATAGCGAAAAATGTCTGTATTAACACAATAGCTTCAATTTCCTTCGAGTAAAATGTGCGCATTTAAGTCTTGGAACATCATTCTAATCAACATGACCACCATTTATTACAGAACGATACACATGTATTGTCTTGACTAAAATATCTGGCAAACATCTTGCATCTAATTTATCAAGTCGGCTAAGATATAGTGCAGAAGATATCATCCTTAAAAAATCAGTTTCATTATATACTCTGATCGAGATTCTTGTAGGATTTTAATATGAATTTTACTTCTATGTCAATTTCGTTCATATTAATGCGAAATACGTCTTTAATAGCGTCTGTTAAGAATGTACACTGTTGATCAGTTATAGTAAACACACAAAAATGTTATCAGATATGCAATACTGACAGTTCCTCAAATATTCTGGTGCTGTGTGTTCATTCAAACTATTAACTATTGAGTTAAGATTATACAATATAGTTGCGTCCATGAAATATGTCATATCGTCAAAAAAATCATTACAGGGATGCCCTACTTATTAAGGTTTTAGAATAGGAAACCACATTCTAAACAAAAAAGAAGAGGTAAACCTCTACTCTTGTTCAAAGATATATATATATATATATATATATATATATATATATATATATATATATATATATTGGTTTTCATCACAATACGTAAAGAAGAATAAATGCGATAGGCAGCAATAAACTACAGAAGAACTCAAAATTGATCGCTGCATTTAAGTATTGCATTAATATTTAAGATTACCTTTTAAAAGTTCAGCGATAATTCTTCTGCCACCTCTTAATTTAAAGAAAATTTATTTTAAAGA